CTCGCGACCGTCCGGCGAGTGCACGAGCGGGAGCTCGAACGGAGTCGACGGGCGCGGGTGCTGGCCGTGGAGGAGCTGGTGGAGTTGACCCAGGAGGATCTCCTGAAGCTGCAGGAGAACTTGGCGGGGGCGCTGACTAAGAAATGCGAGATGGACCGGCATTGCTCCATTTGCCTGGAGCGGCAGAAGGATCATGTCTGCGTCCCTTGCGGGCATCGGTACTGTGGTCCCTGCATCGCCCAAGTGGATCGATGCGCCGAGTGCCGGGAGAGGATTTCGCAGAAACTGAAGTGTTTTTGACGACGAGGGGGGTAAAGCGAGGATAGGGGCTTGAGGGGGCGAAGAAAGGGAGGGGAAGGGGGGACTGTAGGCAATGGGTGGCTGTGTGGGCAATCGGAGACCTTTCAAAACATCCGTGCGCACATACGAGTGTCTGATGGGGTTGAGGCGCAGAACGGGAAGAGTAGAGGGACTTGGAAGGTAAAGGAGGCCTCAGCACAGAAGGGAGTCACGGCCTCTAGGCAAGGCTGGCATGAGGCGAGACGGCTGGGGTTTGTACATAGGGTGGTGTGCGTCTGTTTGGCGAAGCGAGGGGTCTGGAGGCCGCGGGAAGTCTTGTTAGGGAGAGGAGGAGGGACCCAAGACGACCTTAATGTGTTTCAAGCGCAAGTGGGGGCCAAAGAACATCAGGTCCCCGCTCGACCGCCGCGGTATGGAGAAAGATTGGAAATGGAACGAGCTCAGGTGCTTTCACGTCCTGACAAACTAATCAAAGAAATTGATGGTCCATGCGAGCTTCCCCCATTTCCGTCCCACGCAGGGAGGCAGGAGGCATATCTTTGGCGCTCTTTTAAATGACAAGGATGCGGAGGACCCCGCCCGAGACAGAACAATCAATATCTAGAAGGGACTTCGTCACCCTGCGTCCGTTATTTCATCGAATCAATTTGTAATCTCCTTTTCCTTTCCATCAGCGTATTGTATTTCCACCGACTAAACAAAACGTTCTG